ATTGGTGCAACATTCATGCACAACACATAGTTACAGTTGTGCAAACACAAATTATGTCTCTGCCAAATACAGTAAATGGAAAGGAAAAGTTTGAGGAAAGATAAATACAGATGCAGCTTTTTCCAGTTGCTAACACACACACATCTCACATGAAGCGTAATTATTTTAACTCACACTCAAAGAGCAAAACCTGAACTCAAATCTCCAAAACTCTAAACACATGCTCAGCTCTGCACCCAATTTGCAATTCAACGTGTAACTTTTTGCAAAACACTGCACACAGTTCTCTAAGTAAGACACAGACATCTGACATATTCACTTGTTTGCCATTCAAAATGCTTCACACATGAACCAATCAACAAATACACATGCCAAGTGACCATAAAACCTGCTTTATTGTTGACTCGTCGATCAGGATGTAAGCACTAGAAAAAGGCTTCATGTAAGAAACGTATAAAAACAACAACATATTGTTACTTCACTAATCTAGGCCTATGTGTGTTTGCTGTACGCTTGTATGGAATGTTTCTGTTGTAAAGTGTCCGAGTGTTTAGAAAAGCTACAATTATTACATTGAACATTTGGATTTACATTACCCGGCATAGAGAGAAGGAAGACAACAAATCCACTCGCTGTTAAACTCATAGCTGCTCCTCTCGTCTCCGTGTGGCTTCAGCTACAAAATAAGAAAGAAGTTGATTGATGTCCACAAGAAAAAGCTTCTACATTAAAAGAAAGGGAGTCCTCACAGACCTGAACGTCCCTCTGTGGGCTTGAAGGTAGAAAGGAGACAGAAAGCAGGTGGTTTAAAACACCACTTCCTTCCTCTTCACATTATTGCTTTACATGGTTTGTTGTTCCGCAGAGAGAGACCAGTTTGTGGTAAACAGACCACCTCTCCTCACTAACAAGAGAAGACACATCCTAATGTCTTTCTTTATTATAAAAGCAGCCAAAATTCAAGATCTAAAACCATGTTCTGTGAATAAATATCAACAATGCAAATTAAACAAACTACTAATGCAAATTAACATCACTTGGTATTATTATGAAACTGCCTGGACAGTTTCATAATGTTTACAGAAAGTCACATTACAACCATTTTTCATTGAGGTATAGCTTGGGTTTTACATTTTATAATAATAATTAAAGCCAAACTTAAACCAAACTACAACATGCAGCACAAACTGAAGGTTAGCTATCAGTATTTCTGTCCGTGAAGAGCAGGACTGTGGCTGTGCTGTGCTCACACACGTCTCTCACTCACACACTTCTCTCACTCACACACTTCACTCACTCACACACTTCACTCACACACTTCACTCACTCACACTTCACTCACTCACACACTTCACTCACTCACACACTTCACTCACTCACACACTTCACTCACTCACACACTTCACTCACACTTCACTCACACACTTCACTCACTCACACACTTCACTCACACACTTCACTCACTCACACACTTCACTCACACACTTCACTCACACACTTCACTCACTCACACACTTCACTCACACACTTCACTCACACACTTCACTCACTCACACACTTCACTCACACACTTCACTCACTCACACACTTCACTCACACACTTCACTCACACACTTCACACTCACTCACACACTTCACTCACTCACACACTTCACTCACACACTTCACTCACACACACACTTCACTCACTCACACACTTCACTCACTCACACACTCACTCACACACTTCACTCACTCACACACTTCACTCACTCACACACTTCACTCACACACTTCACTAACTCACACACTTCTCTCACTCAGTGTGACAGTCTGCCTTTACTGTGTTCTTTATACCTTCTGATGTATCCTCACAAACTCTGCACTTTCATCACTGCAGCTTGTATTTTTTAATATTGTTTCCAGTGTTTGTATTTCAAGTGAACTCATGCAATTATTCTATTTTGAAACGACAGATTAGTGACACTAATGCTATCATTAGCATTAGTGTGGACAAGAGTTATGGCAATTTCAACCTTTATTTATGAACTCAAACCAATACAGAACAGAAGGAGAAAAAGGTAAACACATGAAGTACAGAACAAAAGAGTAATAACAGTAAACAACAAAGCAAAATCGACAAATGCATTGAGTTGTGATGGTTATGAACTTAAAGAGTAACAAAGAAATTAACTATTTTAATTGGTGATAATGGACATACATAAAAAGATGGCAGAATAAGAATGTGTGAACATTAAAGGTGGGGTAGTTCATTTTGGAGAAACCAGCTCGAGTGCGCTAGAATTTGAAAATACACAACCGGAGAAAATCTGCCACTTCCTTATAGAGCCCCTCCTCCAACACACACGAACGCGCACATGACCAATGAGGGCACGAGATAAGTTTGTGCACAGATGGAAAGCTGACAGGCAGGTAGGCCATCCAGTTATTTTAGCCGGGCCGGCTAAAATGATTGGTCGTGCTTTTTACAGTACTACAGCTTCCACAGATGACATTTTTT